TCGGAGGCGCCCTCAGTTGCGTTGGCCACCCTTGGTCGGGGGAAGACCCAGGAGACTGTTTAACCACGGACGGGAAGATTGGCCTTAGGCGCGAATGGCAAGGTAACTGCACAGTGCTAACCTCAAAGAATATCCAAGGGTTGCTGGGAAAAAGGGATGAGTTGGAGAACTGGGTTGTATCCCACAATCCCGATCTTTTTGAAGTCACTGAGACCTGGCTGGCACCGGATGTCCAGGACTCCGAAATATTGCTCCGCGGATACACAGTGTTTCGAACGGATCGATTATCGTCACGTCGCGGTGGTGGAGTTGTTCGTTTCGTTTGCTCGGGTCTCCCTGTTCGAGTTCTGGAGGATTACGGCCATCCGGAAGGATTTGGAGAAGCCCTATGGTGCAGAATCAAGCTTCGCACCGGAGGGTATACCACAGTTGAAGTGATTTAGCGCACACCAGCTGTGTACGTCCCAGGGCTGCTGGCTAGCAGAAGTACGCCTGCAATGGACATTGTTTTGTCTTGGGTGATTTCAACGCTCCCCATGTTAATTGGAACATTGACATCTGCTCTCAGCAGGCAGATTTGTTTTCCAGAGAACTTCTTTCCGCCGTTCGGGCCCTCTCGCATGTTCAGCATGTTCATGTGCTTACGCGGATAGTTGGGGATCAAAGATCCATCCTTGACCTGGTACTTTTGCCAAGGCAATCAGATACGACTGGGATTGACCTCCCTCCACCAATTTCATCTAGTGATCACTCCGTTCTGCGTATACACTGGAGACGTGGCGTACCCCAAACGGAGAGACCACGAGACGGATGGAATGTGTGGCCCTTATTCTTTCCGGATATGCGGCAGGCTGCATCAATCACAAATTGGGATCATCGGAACCCTGAGGATGTGGATGTATCCTGGGGGTTGGTTTGTGATAGAATCCGGCTACTCGTACTGGAATTCTCTTCACCTTACCGTCACCGAACACGCTATGGGCCCGCCGTTGTCTTACCGAGAACTGCGGGCGTGCCTCCGGCAGCGGAATAAAGCCTGGTCAAGGTAACGTGCAACAGGCGCAGGATATGAGGAATATCGATGTATTCAGAATCATTGTACTGCACTAAAAAAATGCAAGAGAACCAGATTCGAGTAATGAATAAGGGCGGATTCAGTACAAGCACCAAAGTGATTGTATGCCTACCTTAGGCGAAGAATCAGAACAATGTTTGGTCTCCCGACTCTCGGCAAAGATAGGGCACTAGCCGAAAAAGATGAGGACAACGCTGACATGCTGGCATTACATTATGCCTCAGTGTACACCTCAGACTCCAGCACACTGGCACATATACTGGACACTGACACTGCGCTGAACTGGACCTCATTTGCAGTCGGAGAGGCAGCCCTGGAGCTGCATCGACTAAAGGCTCACCAGTCACCTGGACCTGATGGTATGCATCCACTGATCCTGAAGGAGCTGGCAGATGAACTTGCAGCGCCAAAGTGCAACCTATTCAATTTGTCATTCACTCAAGGGCGTTTACCGCCGCAGTGGAAGGATGCCGCCATTGTTCCACTGCCCAAAGCTGGGGATAGGAGTGACCCTGGGAAGTACCGACCAGTCAGCCTTAGTAGCGTTGTGGGTAAAAAGTAATGGAACGTTTGTTGGATGCACGGCTTCGGTAGCATTTAATGTGCCACGCTCACCTGTGCCACCAAGAGCACGGTTTCCGGCCGACTCGCTCATGCCTCTCATACCTGCTACTTGCGCGTGAATGCTGGACCGAGGACAAGGCCAAAGGAGACGAAACGGACATCATCTTCGTGGACTTTAAAAAGGCCTTCGACAAGGTGCCGCACCACCTCCTGCGAAAGCTGTCCAACCTAGGTGTAGGTGCGGTCATGTGGAATTGGCTGCGAGACTTCCTCATTAACCGGAAATTCTGCGTCCGTGTTGGCGAATCGTTCTCTGCGTGGTATTCCGCTCCCAGGGGGTCCTCCAAGGCCCGGTTCTTGGTTCATTGCTCTTTGTGGTATATATGAACAACCTGCCTGGTCAACTGTGCAGCCCCTCCCTCGTTTATGCGGATGATATCAAAATCTGGCGTACAATCAAGGATCCGAATGATCGAAGTTCTCTTCAAGTGTCTTTGAATAACTTGGCTCTGTGGGCGGATACCTGGGCTCTTCCAGTCAACACAGTAAAGTGTGCTCACCTGTACTTAGGGCGTGCTGACTCAGAGGTAGACTACAACTTCCAGAAAACCACATTTCGCATAACATCGTGCGAACGAGACCTGGGTGTAATGGTTACGTCATCACTAAAGACCCGAGAAAATACCGATCGGGTTTGTGCTAGAGCATAGAGCATTCTGTGGCCTATTCAGCGTTCTTTCAGCCAGCTCACGATGGACGCTTTCAGGCTGCTGCACGCTTCCCATGTCAGACAAAGATTTGAGTATGGTGGTGCGGCGAAATACCCCTGCACGGTCGGTGAATTGGATAAGTTGGAGCGTGTACAACGTGCTGCCACTAGATTCGTTGTTGGACTACGCGGGACCAAATATGAGGGTCGTCTACAGGCTACGGGTCTGTTCCCAATTGCGTATCAACGCTTCAGGGGAGATCTCATCTACCTGGAGAAACTCCTGAGAGGTGTATGGGCCCAGAACTGCAACAGTACTTCCCTTTACGGACAGAGCACCGCAAGTGGGGACACTCTCTCACGTCGCGGAAAATTCAGTCAGTTGGTCTTCCGTTAGTCTACCGACACTCGCGTAGGTCGACAACACTCTGGAATTCCCTTTCAGCGATTGTGGTGGAAGAGAAGACAGACGCTGCTCTCAAACGGCTTCTGGATGAGCATCTGAAGGGGCTTTGGAGAAACGAACACTTGTAATCGAACCTTCGACCCAGTGGTGATGGGGCTTACACGGGCACCCTGCCCTCTGCCCTTAATGCTGAAGACTGAAGACTGGTTTCTCCAACTTCCTCAACTACATTTTTATTCACCGTTAACCACACATTTTACTGAAACTTCTCAGCATCCAGCATCACCACTTTCAGGCCGTTTCTTCTCCACGACACATCTCTTTCTCTGGGTAGCTCGAAGCAGTGGGTTGCGAGCTGGGGCTTTGATTCTGAAAAGTCCTCAGACGGGTGCTGTCACTGCAAGGAACCATCAGAAATGCGTTTTCCTTCCCCAGAACCGCACTCAATCACGTCTACGTGAACAAAATAACATAATGGTCGCAGCGCAGTGGTGCTTCTAAGATCATTGGTGCAAGAAACTGGACTGCTTCTAGGAGTCCTGCGCCTGAGACGCTGG